GTGTGTGTGTGTGTGTGTGTGAGTGTGAGTGTGAGTGTGTGTGCAAGCAGAAGTGTCTCATTCCAAAGATGTGAACCCACCACTAATGGTCAGTTATCCATTATGAGTCAAAGCCTCTCTCTCTCTCTTCAGCTCAGTACAGCTGGAACAACAACACAGGCTGTATGTGGCACTCTGCTGTGGCAGGTTTTCAAAGGCCTCCTCCTCTTCCTCCTCCTCATTTTTTTCTTCCACTCTTTCTTCCTGTTTGGCCTTCCTCTGATCTCCCACTGCTCTATCACGAGTAAGCAAAGGCCAGCGTCTCAAAGGATGATTCCCGTTTGGAAAACTTCCAGACAGTCCGCCTGCTGCAGAGATTATGTGTGTGTGTGTGTGTGTGTGTGTGTGTGTGTGTGTGTGTGAGTGTGAGTGAGCGTGTGTGTGTGTGTGTGTGTCCGTTTTGTAAACTTTTTGGCTGTCCCTCTGCCGCCGAGAGTGTGTGTGTGTGTGTGTGTGTGTGTGTGTGTGTGTGTGTGTGTGTGTGTGTGTGTGTGTGTGTGTGTGTGTGTGTGAGTGTGAGTGTGAGTGTGTGTGTGTGTGTGTGTGTGTGTGTGTGTGAGTGTGTGTGTGTGTGTGTGTGTGTGTGTGTGTGTAACCAGTTGTGAAGAAAACGTCTTGAGATGACTAACTTGTAATAAAAATTGAGATGACTAACTTGTAATATTAGCCTAAGCAGTTTATAAAACAGGCCCCTGGTTTCTAAATATAAATATTCACTTCACATTTAAGTGATGTGAACAAACCCCTCTTTTTGAGCAGTATAGCGGTAGTACTGATTACAATAGCAAACACCACAAATAGTAGCTGCAAATAATTATACTGTATGGCCTTACTGCACCTTTATTTAGTACTGAAGTGACCTATTATGTGGAATGCTTACAAGTCGTCACTGTCGGGCTGAAACCTTGTATGTCCATATGTTTTGTCCGTCGTTAGTACAGCTGTATTTGTGGCAGTAAGTGCATCTCATTACAGGTTACAAAGAATATGGTATCTCTTCAAAGTTTATGGTGAAATGCTCTTCTCCACTCCTCAGATGCATACAACTTTAGTCTTTAAAGACAGTGTTTCTTCAGTAAAGGAAACACTGAACTTATTCAAACACAATACTATTTATTGGTTAAATAATTGTAAAACTCACAGAAAAATGTAAAGGGTGAGCAAAAAAAAAAGATGAAATATGGCGATACAAGGTATTTGTTAAGATAAGAAAAAAACAACAACAACAGTGTAGAATCATGTAGAGTGAGGTCAGTACCTGAGATGTTGAGGGTTGAGGGCGACAGGGATATCGGGTCATTCAGGTTATTGAGAGGAGCCCCGTCCTGAAGCCAGATGACCCGCACCGGATCAGGAGGACCGTGAGCCACACAGCGCACACTCAGCTCTTCGTTAGCCACGACTGACAAATGCTGCGGGTCTACCGAGAAATGAGGGAGACCTGGGGGAGAGAGAAAGACAGTTAGGGAATCCATAAATATATCAATGCACTATAGAGGAGTCTACTGTTATAGTCTCAACCCAGACCAGCCTCTCAGTCAGCAATCAGGAAATCAATTCACAAGATTAATTTGAATTTTGGAACAATGGATTTTAAGTAAGACATTCAAAAAGTGAAATACCCTCTAGTTGGATGTATCCCTCCATGGATAATGCCTCCTCTTCACCAGATGAAACTGCACACTGATAGGCGCCCATATCTGAGAGCTGTACCTCCTCTATCCTGTACGCAGAAGGAGAATACTATTAATATGAAACTGCAGTCACATTTCAATAGATTCTTTTGGCAGACACTTTTCTCCCAGGTGAATTGCAGTGCTTTTAATGTTTCGGTTTTATCAGCGTGTGTGGTCATTGGGAATCAAACCCCTGACATATGTATTGCTAGTGGCATTGCACCGGTCAGCTTTAGTGAAAGCTCAAAGTTGTTATGAAAATGGTTACATGTCTGTGTGCTGGGTTTGATCAGTGCTGGGGGTCACAGGTAATCCATTTGATATGTTTACTGACAAAAGAGTCATATTTGAATTGAAAATATACCTGCTAACTGATCAGCAAATTGCCAGTGAGAAAAAGTGACATAAGCATACCTATCACACTACTTTCCATACAAATTCAGGAGTTATCATAATTCAGTTATATTATCGTCACATTTCAATAGATTCTTTTGGCAGACACTTTTCTCCCAGGTGAATTTCAGTGCTTTTAATGTTTCGGTTTTATCAGCGTGTGTGGTCATTGGGAATCAAACCCCTGACATATGTATTGCTAGTGGCATTGCACCGGTCAGCTTTAGTGAAAGCTCAAAGTTGTTATGAAAATGGTTACATGTCTGTGTGCTGGGTTTGATCAGTGCTGGGGGTCACAGGTAATCCATTTGATATGTTTACTGACAAAAGAGTCATATTTGAATTGAAAATATACCTGCTAACTGATCAGCAAATTGCCAGTGAGAAAAAGTGACATAAGCATACCTATCACACTACTTTCAGGAGTTATCATAATTCAGTTATATTATTTGGGCATTACTGCAATAACGTGACATGCTAGTTTGAAAAGTTTCTGCAACATTGATCATGGACAGAGGAAACTGATAGAACAGTTCAATGGAGAGGCAGTGTAAATGTCCTCATTAAACAGGTATTCCTACTTGAGTTCACTAAAAACCAGCCAGCTGTTCTCATCTACGGGGAGTTGCATCTGGTTGGTGTCTGCAAACTCCAGCGACTGTCCCTCCTTCAGCCAGAGCACATCCAGGGGCCCCTGGCCCTCGCCGTCCACTCGCAGGATGCACTGAACAGCCACTGGCTTCCCAAGAGAGGAGGTCACGTTCTTAGGGCTCTCCATGAAACGCAAACCTACACAGTGCAGGAAAATCATGGAAAAACCATTGTCAAAGGTAAAGTTGAGTTCATCACTTAAGCTTCCATAACCTGTGTTTGTTTTGAAGAGCAGATGAATTAAACAAATGTGTGGTACTTTGGTGCTAAATAATTGCCATGCCAAGGCCTTTACATGTTTTTTTTTTTTTTGTTAATGGCATGTCGTTTGCTGTAGTTTGAAGAGCTGGTCATCATATTGAAGGGTTTCCACATCGTTTCTGAAGATTCATGCCTTTATAAAACTAGATCAGCTCTAAATCAGTGGTTGCCAACCCTGGTCCTTATCTGACACATCTGGTCTCACCAATGAGCTGATGAGCTGAACCAGGTATGATGGGACCCTCCAGGAGCTGGATTGAGAAGCACCATGGTTCTTAGTGGTCCACTCCAAAGTGTGGGCTCTTCCGTTTAAGTCTAAGGTAGTTTTTGCTCCCTTGTCTCTCAGTACGAGTAAACATCACATGAACTTATCAGTCAAACCTCCTTTTCAATGCCACTGGGGTGGTGTCGCTTTGTGAACTGATTTTGTAGGGGATGTTTTCAAAAACACAACCAACCCTCCCTCGCATGGATTTTTAGGATGCGGACACGACCGCAGGACGGTAGATCGGCTCCATGCATCTCCATCTGCCTGAATAACTTAAATGTTTTACATTCCTGTGTCAGCATGGAGCGGATAAGAAGCTCTGCAGCTGAAGCCGGAGAGATACCAGAGGCGTGTAATCCAGCATTAGGCCAGTTCCGTGTAGGTTCGCTACGGATGACGCAACTCATTCCGAATTGCTTCCCATTTAATAACTCCAGTTTAGGATTTTCTCAAGACTGTCAGACACTGCCCTGACCCCATGACTTTGACCCCATGAAGATTGTTTCATCCAGTGTGACATGACATCTAAAACACTTATTAACACAACTGTCTCTCATATATGTGCTTTATCAACAAGAAATCAGACTGACTTTTTGAAAATGGCTCATAAAAAACATTATTCGCATTCAGTTGCACACTTAACAAATACACTTAGAGGTTTAAGCTACAGGAAGTTTTTTCAAGAGTTTAACATTCCTTTCAGTCCATCTGAAGTGTGTTCAGATATGAATGGGATGAACAACATGTGGACACTGTCAGTCTTTCAGGGAAGGTTTAGGAGAACACACACATACACACATATGCAGAGACGCTGGTCCCAAGTTGATTTAAATTGAGGCCCATTAAATCCTCCCGTCATGGTTAGTTAGGAGAACACACACATACACACATATGCAGAGACGCTGGTCCCAAGTTGATATTTAAAATGAGGCCCATTAAATCCTCCTGTCATGGTTAGTTTTTTTTCTTTACTTTGCTACTGCAGCTTTTAGCTTCACTAGTCCTTTTAAACCTTTTTTTCCTTTTATGATGGCCTGAATGTGGGCAGTCAACTCTGACCTGAACTGTCTTTCTCTGCAGCCTTCATTGAATCTGAGTGTTTAAAGTCAACATAAAATGCTGCTTCAAATCCATTTTACTCTCGTAATTTTAAACTTTGCATTCAACAAGAAGAAACTATCCAGCAAGAACTGATTGTCTTGTAAAAATTGGCCTCTATATGACTTTTTTTATTTGCAATAAATAAGCAAGAGATTTGAATGTGTTTTACATAAGGTGCTGTTCTTACATGTACATTTACTTACATTTGCATACAGTACACTGAAACATGCACAACTGGCGTATTGGCAGATTAAAAAATATATATTATTAATATTAATTATAATTTTTATGTATGAACTTTGCATATTTACAAATGTGTACAAATCCTTATTTATATATATTAAAATCTTGGAATAAACATTTTTATAGATTGTTGTACAAGAATACTCTTTAAAACCTTAAAATGAATAACATTTCTGTAATGTTCAGAATCCATACAATTTTGAGGACAAATTAAGGCACTATTCAGTGATCTTCATCTCCGTCTGTCCTCAGCAGTGACTGTAAGGGAACAAAACCTGCCGCCTCGAGAAGCTTTACGGCAGGTTTTACTGCAGTGACGGCTGTTTGAATGAGAAATGCGCACATTCACCGAGTGGATCAGGAATATTTTCAGCGATTAACGATCTAAATTCTGCTCTGTTCCTCACACTAGACCAGTGGTTCCCAATCCTGCACTTTTTAGATGTCTCCCTAATCAAACACACCCGATTCAACTCATCAGCTCATTAGTAAAAACTCCAAGACCTCAAATGTGTGTCAGATAAGAGAGACGTCAAAAACGTGCAGTGTTGGGGTTCTCCAGGACCAGGATTGGGAACCACTGCACTAGACTATTGTGTTCTGCCAGAGAGGACCGCGACTGCAACACATCGGCATTTGGACTACTTTTGGTACCGCTTCTGAGATTCTCACAATAAATAAAGTATTGTGATTACACTTGTCATGTTTTTCTTTATACTGTACATATTTTTTTTTAATGGTTTTGGTTTAGTGGTAGGAGTGGGATAAGCAAAATATCTTTCAATGCTATATTGTTACTACATATTTCTGTCCATTACATTCTGTCCATTGAATATTATTTTTTATATTCTCTATAAAGTGGTTATGTTTAGGTTTGGAGTAGGGTTAAGGTAGGGGTGTCAAACTCAGTTCCTGGAGCGCCGGAGCCCTGCAGAGTTTAGTTTAAACACACCTGATCCAACTAATCAGGTCCTTCAGGCTTATTTGGAAACTACATGGTGTGTGTGTTGGAGCAGGATTGGAACTAAACTTTACAGGGCTAAACTAAACTCTCCAGGAACTGAGTTTGACACCCCTGGGTTAAGGGATCTAAAATGTATCTATAACATCATAAAAGTGAATCTATCAAATATCTTTATAATATTAAAGATTTGTGAAGAATAATTTAACCTCCTGGGGTCGACAGCCGCCAGCGGAACTTTTTGCAGATTTGAATGATGACACCGAAAATAACTAAAATGCTCCTTCATACTTGACCATACATATAAGAGTAATACAGCATTTAAATCTGTAAAGGGTCTACTTTTATTTGTGTACACTCACCATATCAACAAAACATTGTGCTTTTGCAAAATAAAGAAAATAAAATGAAACTCAGCGAATATTTGACACACACACATGAGAGATATATCTATAGAAAGCTTAACATGTCTATTTTTAAACGAAGTAAGTCATGACGAAAACAAATATTATGTCACAAAGTAATCAGTATGAAACCAACGCGATGTCAAGTCTTGGCCGTCGCCCTCATTATCGCTAATGTGACCATGCCCACGCACCGATCGAGCTTTTGTTATTACAATCATCCACGTGAAACACGCGCATGTAAACGCCCACATCACAGCAAACACAGCAGCGAGACTTTCCCTCAAGTTCATCTCGGCTACTTCGCTTCTGGAAGAAGACACGCTGAGAGAAATAAGCTTGGGATTTTCCTCGTGATATTCAGTGGAGGATATTATAAATCTTTTTTATTTGCCTACTTGCATTAGTTGATATTGTGTTACTGTGACATAACGTGTACATATTTTACTAGTCACTTTTTCCAAACCATGATTCCTGACTAAATGTATAATCAAGTGAAACATTATGAAGATTCATTCACTGCATATATGTCTCACAACGCCAGGAAGTTTTTTGTATGTTCTATAAAATAGACAGCAACGCTATTAAAGTAATGTGAGTTGTAATGTTAATATGTTGAATGTTTTATACTCGGTCATTGGCGTTCG